CGACCCGTGGTCCGAGGGCCACGGGGGTCTGTGAGTTCTGAAAGGTTGGTGACCGCTGCTCCAGTCAATCCAGCCCAGGAAACAGCATTCAACTCCGTCTTCTTCCTCGAAAACTATTCCAGGGGCCACTCCCCTCTGACTTCCCTGCTTACACACACACACACACACACACACACACCCGTCGCCCTTTGACCCACCCAGTATTTCCACTTTTGGAAATTTATCCTAAACACACACTGGCATATGTGTAAAGTAACACGTTTCATCGATTCTTGTACTATTTGTAATAACAAGACTGGGGGAAAAACCTGAATGTCTATCCATAAGAGACGGATTAAGGAAAAGGTTAGCAACTGGAATACTCTACAGCCATGAAAAGGGACCTTACCTACGTGCAAAGTCATGGTGGAAAAAGGAGCAGAATTCCCCTGGTGTTTGCATTACGACTCTCTTTTCATAAAGACTGAAATGTGTTAAGATGAAAACTAAGCTCTGCGTTGGGGACATTCACATGAGGGGTAAGACTGTAAAGAAAAGGAAGGAAATCATACTGAAAGCATTAGCACGGAGCTGCTTTCACAGAGAGGGAGGAGTCTTACGGGGACTTTCGTGGACGTTTCTGGAGGGCTGGACATGTTTTATCTCTTGACCTGGATGGTGGCTCCATTGCTTGCTTTACTTGGTATAATTATTTTTTAAACTGTAGATGTTTTGTGCACTCTTTAATATGAATGAGGTCCCTCATGATTCAAAAACGGTTGCAGTCCATCCAAACAGTGGAATACGATACAGTCACTCCAAAGGACAAGACGACTCTATATGCACGGGCGTGGAATGGATTTTTTTTGGAGGGAGGGAGCGAAGTACAATGTGTTTTTATGCTCCCTTTTGGGTAAATGTAACAAGAGAACGTGTCTGCCTGGGTGCTTCTGTATGCTTCCGTTAGCTCTGGAAGTACACAAGGACCAGGTAACTTGCAGGAGCCTGTGGAAGAGGAATTGGGCAGTTGTTTCCCTCTTCACACATTCTGAATGTTGTATCATGTGCATAAACTATCTATTCAAAAAATAAAATAATTAAAAACAATTCTGTCTCTCATTCTCTGGAACCCCCAAGATGTTTGAGTTCAAACAAATTTCTTGCCAAGAAGAATGAGTCACCGCCCAGGCATGAGGCACCTGGCGACCTTCAGCCAGTGGGGGACCCTCCCTGGTCCCCATTTCCTCACTGCAGAAGGAGGCCAGGTCACCACCGGCTCCCCACCCCCTGTCCCCCAGTCCTCTTCCCCCTCTCCTATCATCGGCACCCTCTTCTCTCCTTGCTTTAGGCTCTTGATGTTTCACTGCCCTCCTTTGATACTTTCTTCTATTTTATTTCTCTTTCTTTTCTTTCTTTCTTTCTTTTTTTAAAATCCTCACCTGAGGATATTTTTCCACTGATATTTATTTTTATTTTTAGAGAGAGGGACAGACAGAGAGAAATATTGATGTGAGAGAAACACATCAATTGGTTGCCCCCCTGCACGAGCCCTGACCAGGGCCCAAGCCGGGGAGGAGCCTGCAACCAAGGTACATGCCCTTGGCTGGAATCGAACCCGGGACCCTTTGGTTCGCAGGCCGACACTCTACCTACTGAGCCAAACCAGCTAGAGCTTGTTTCTCTTTTCCTCCCTTCTGAGCCTTTTGTTGCCTCTCCCCCTCTCTGCCTTTCTGCTCTCTCTGTGCTTCTCAGCCTTCCTCCCCTCCCCTCCCCCTTCGCTCTCCTCCCTTTCCCTCTCCTTCCCTCCCCTCCCCTCCCCTCCAGGACCCAGCCTTCCCTAGAGTCCAGAAGTCGGGTTTCGGGCCCCAGCTCTCCGCACAACCTGGGTGACCTGGGCGAGTCACAGACCCCTTGGGTTACGTGAGATCACAAGGTGGAAGCAGCCAGCACAGTGCTGGCCACTCAGAAAAGAACGTCCCTCCTCTGAAAGGAGCTGGTAGCCTTGGGGTTGTGGATGGTCAGACCCTTCCTGTCCGCTTGGAATTGCTCAGAATCTGGGTCCTCCTGTCCCAGAGGCTTTGCATGACAGCAGGTCCCTGGGGTGTGAGGGCTTGGGAAGAGGCCTCTGGTGAGCTTTGGGGGAGGGAGGATGGGAGGAAGGATGGGGAGGACTTGGTGGATGGAAAGGGAGGCTGGAGAGAGTTATTCCGCTCATTTCTAGAGGTTTGGGCCCTGGATCTTTTTGGGGGGCTTCCTTACTCAGGGCTCTTGGGCTTGGCCAGACTCGGGACAATGGCGTCTCTTTCTCCTGGGGTCTCCTGAGACTTAGGCCCCAAAACACATGGCGGAGCTGGAGTGCTGCCTGCGGCACAGAGAAGAGCACACCCACTCCCTGCAACCAGCCCTTGGACGCAACCCCGCTCCTCCGCTCGGCTCTCAAGGCCCTTCGTCTTCCTGTCCTGTCCGGCTTCTAGCCACAGGGAGGGCGGCTCCCTGCTCCCTGTCCTGCTCTGCCTCCTGGCCTTCGCCCAGGCTGGCTCCTCAGCCAGACAACGCTTTCCTCCCTGAGGTCCTGACCAAAGTCATTGTTCCTCAGTGTACCTCTCACCTCCCTCTGGTGCCCCCTGGTCCCCAGAATGCATGTGTTTGCACGTCTGTTATCTGTGCTCCTGGAAGCCCAGGGGATGCCTCCCTATATAGCTGTACCTACCTATATAGTTGAAGTTTAAAAATAGTGGCTCTATATGTTCATAGATCAGCCCATTCATCTGTTATTCATCCATCAGTCTTTCTACTGTACATCCAGCTATCAATCTGTCCACATTTTTTAAACTTTATTGAAGTTTCAAAAAGTTTAAAAAAGTTGCCAGGTGCCTCATGCCTGGGCGGTGACTCATTCTTCTTGGCAAGTAATTCGTTTGAACCCAAACATCTATTCCTGGAAGCCCAGGGAATGCCTCATTCATGTCTGTGTTCAGCATGTGGGGAGTTCGTGATTAAATGAATGAGTTCATAGATAAACAAGCATTCAACAAACCAAACCAAGAGAGCAATGAATGAATGAGTGAATGAATGGAGACATCAAGCAGGATCTGGTTCCCAAGGAGCAGAGCAACCCTCACACACCTCCTGTTAGCTGGGGCTCTGCCTTCTCCACAGGGAAACTGGGGGCAGGATGGAGCTGATGTCCAGGCATCCTGCCTCTCACCTCCTCTTGGGAGGAGCCTGGGTCAGGTCCCTAGGGTGTCCTGGGGATTTGTGACCTGGAGCCACTTGGAGAATCCCAAGTAAGTGGATGTAAAACATCGGTGGAGATGGAAGTGATTTAATGGTGAACCAAGGACCCCTGGTCTTTGCTGCCAGTGAAGAAACACTTGGGGGTCTGGGGTTCTAGTGACTGGAAGGAGGCAAGCCAGTCTCAGTGGGGAGGGAATATAAAGCAAGGGGTTAGACTACACATGGGAGGAAATTGGACTCACCAGATACCAATGGGTCAAAATGTGTCTTTATTCATCCCTCTGCCCTCCAGACTAGATCATGCGCTCTCTGAAGGCAGGGATCTTGTCCCATTACCTTTCTATTTTCCCAGCACTCGGCATAGAGACCGGAACTCAGTTAATATTGGCAGAATGCACAGATAAAAGGATGTGTGGATAGATAGATGGATGGATGGATGAAGTGATGAGCAGGTGGGGGGATGGATAGATGGGTGATGGTATGTGAATGGGTGATAAGATAGATGAATGGATGGGTGGAGAGATAAATAGGTTGATGGATGGATGAGTAGGTGGATAAATGTACTGATGGGCAGACAGATTGATAGCTGGATGTACAGTATAAAGACTGATGGATGAATAACACATGAATGGGCTGATCTATGAACATGTAGATGGCTAGATAGACAAGTAGATAAACAGGTGAGTGGATAAATGGACTAACAGACGAATGAATGGACAGTTGGGTAAACTGATAGATAAATGAATGTATGACTGACTTGATGGGAGGATAGATGGTTGGACAAACAGATAGATAAACAAATGGGTGGGGAAAGAGATGGATGGACAGACAAGAAATGTTAGTAAACTAGAAAGACTGAATTCGATATTCAGGCATTGGCAAGGGGCGAGGAAAGAGAAGTCTGGGCTGGGAATAGAGCCCCCAGGGATACGGAAGAAGCGGCGATATTCAGGAAGCTGGGAGGGGTGGTGTGAGAGCCCAGGCCCTCCTTTGGTGAAGGGAGGGCCGCCGGGAAGGGTCTGGGATGGGGGAAGTGGAGAGCACATTGTGCTGAGGACCCTGTCCCGGAGCTCAGCGCCAGGCTGGGTGGCCAGGGCATGGGGGCTCCAGGCCGAGGAAGAGCCAGGCCTGGCATCTGCTGGATCAGCCCTAGCCAGCCAGGCTGGCCCCAGAAAGTGGAGGCCCCAAGGGGCCACCCCTACTAGCCCTGACCCCACGGAAGTGACTGTTGGCCACCTGGGGGTGGAGGGATCTCAAGAGAAGGAAGCATTTGTGGGGTTAGCCAGTGTGTTCGGCAAACTCATTAGTCAACAGAGCCAAATACCAACAATACAACGACTGACATTTCTTTTGAGAGCCACATTTTTAAAACTTCAGCTATATAGGTAGGTACATTGTTATTAACTGAATTCGGGTACTCCTAATTTTGTAGAAGAGCCACACTCAAGGGGCCAAAGAGCAGCAGTTTGCCGACCGGGAGTTAGGGGTTGGAGCCTCAGCACAGGCCCAGGGCAGCAAAGGCCGTCCCTTGGTAGAGCTAGCCTTCCTCCCTCCCACTCTTCCTCTCCCCCCCCCCCCCCCCCCGCGCCCTGCCCCAAGCCCCCCAGGCCGCCCCTCGCAGTCCCAGCTTCCTCCGGGCAGGGGGCCTGGCCCCCACAGCCTGCCAGGCCAGCCCCTGCAGCACCACCTGCCCCAGCGGCCAGAGACTTCCTGTAGCGCAAGAGATTTATGCAAACGGGCTGGGGTGGTGATGTCACCCCAAGGGGACTATCTTCCAGTGGCAGGCCCTTCGATAAAATCAGGAACTTGCGCTGGCCCTGCAATGTCAAGGGAGGGGGCTCACGCAGGGCGCCTGTAGCTCAGGGGCAGGCCCAAGCCCTGCGCCCGGAGTCCGTCCAGCCCCCCGACGGGGCTTCCCATCCCGAGGGGCTCCGCACTGGCCCCCACCGAGGCAGGGGACCGGACCGGAGCTCGGCTGGATGTTACAGGCGTGCAAAATGGAAGGGTTTCCCCTCGTCCCCCCTGTGAGTACCGGGACCCCTTTCCCAGCCCAACCCGTGGCCCCCGGCGCCCGCCCGCTCGCCCGCCCGCAGGCTGCCCTCCCGGCTTGCTATCAGTGGGAAGTTGGTGTTTCCTCCCTGGAGCTCTGGCCTGGGAACCAGCGGGGGGCCACTGGGTCCTCAGAGCATGCCCTGGCGGCTGAGGCCGGGCCCTGTGGGGCTGTGCTCGGTGGGGCCTGAACAGTTATTTATAGACGGGCTGGGTGGCAGGCCTAAGCTCCAGGGCAGGGTGCTGGGCCGGGGGTGGGGAGGGTGGCGGTGGCGGCAGAGAGGTGGTGGGGAAGGAGATGGGGAGACTGGCCTGGGGGAGGCGGTCCCTAGGAGAGTAAAGCCTGGAGCAGGAGGCGGGGGGCCAGGGGTCTCCCCATGGCCTGGGCGCTCCTGGGGACCAGGCTGCTGTTGGCCAAAGGGTCTGGGCCCAGGCACAGAGGTCATGGCTGTTGGCAGAAGGGTCTGGCCCCAGGGCCCCAAGGTCCACAGGAGGCCGGGCAGAGGCAGGGGCCAGGGGTGGGGCAGCGGCTGGGGCTGCAGTTAGGGCTGGGGCCAGGCCGGGCTGGAGAGATCCTGGGCTGAGATTGGGGCTGGGCAGGACCTGGTTGAGTGTGGGATTGGAGCTAGGGCAGGGGCTGAGGCTGGGGCGGACGAACGGAGACGAGGTGAGAAAACAGGCCAGGGGACCCCGGGAAGTTCCGGGCAGCAGGCCGGGGCACCCCAGTGCTCCTGCTCTGGGTGACAGTGGCGGCCTCAGGCGGGTGTCAGGCGGGGGCTCCTAGGAAGGGGTCCCTTTCCTTTTTCTCACTCCATCTCAGCGCAGCGAGAGAGGGGAGCCCCGGGGAAGGGCTTGGCAGGGCCTGCCCCCCTGACTCAGCTTTCCCGGCCCCGAGGCAGCTCCCTTCCCTCGCCTACCCCAGCCGCCCACCCCAGGGGCACCACAGCCCTGACACCCCGTTGCCCGGCTGTCGGGCCTGAAGACCCAGTGTTGGGCTCCCAGCTCCTCACTCGGCCTGGCCTGGCAGCACCAGCCGTCTAGCCCCCCGTCCTGGCCCTGTCCCATCCTCCCCCCTGGGACCAAGGGAGTTGGGGGGAGGCAGGGAAGGATGGAGGTGGTCCCTGGAAGAGTCAGCTCTGTCCCAAGAAGGTGATAGGCTCAGGGGCTTGGCCACCCTGTCTCTGACCCTTGAACTCCAATCCCTAAACTCCAGACAGAGGGGCTGGAGGCACATCTCGAACTCTCACACCTAACCTCCCGCCCTCTCCCCATCCTGGGCTACTGAGTGCCCCTGGGAGGGGAAGCGGGCCCCCAAGGCAGCCCTGAGGCCAGAGTAACTGTTGTGCAATCCTGGGCACACGCTGCAGGGTGGGGAGAGGCCTGGTGACTGCTGGGAAGGCTGGGTGTGCATGTCCCTGTGCCTGCGCCAGTGAGGGGGGGGATGGCGGAGGAGGAGTGAGAGGGAGGGGCGGGGGGGGGGAGAGAAGGAGGGGAAGGAGGATCCCAGGGAGGGTGTCGGGGAGCATGGATGAAGGGCAGTGAGAGGATCAGGGTTGGCCATCCCGTGGCCCCAGGGCCTGCCTGGGTGAGACTGTGAAGTCCATCAGGTGGGCGGCTGCTGGAGACCTCGGTGGCCCTGAGCAGGCTGCCGGGGCCTGGGCTCGGCAGTGAGAGGACGGGGTTGGCCGGCTGTGGGGGCTGGAGGAGGACCAGCGTGTGTGGTGAGGACGAGTGTGCAAGCGGAATGTGAGTGATCGTGGGAGGACGTAGGTACGGAGATGAGTTTAAGGTGCTTGAAGGCAAGCGTGTGGCTGTGTGTGTGAATCCGGTGACTGTGTAGTCCTCCAGGGTGAGTGTAAGTGTGTATGCGTGTGCATGACCACAAGTGCGTGTGACTGTGAGTGACCTTCAGAGTGAGTGTGAGGGCGAGGGCGAGGGGACCTGTGTGTGAGTGTCATAGGGACTACGTGTATGTTTGGGGGCTGTAGGTGCACCAGTGTGAACGGGAGAGGGCGGGTCTGTGAAACTGGGGCACGTGGGTGTGATTGTGAGTGCGGGTGTGGGTGTGTGTGAGTGCAGGTGTGAGTGTGAGTGTGGGTGTGGGTGTGAGTGTGTGAGTGTGGGTGTGGGTGTGAGCGTGACTGTGAGTGTGAGTGCAGGTGTGAGTCTGAGTGCGAGTGTGGGTGTGAGTGTGAGTGCGAGTGCAAGTGTGAGTGCTGGTGTGAGTGTGAATGTGAGTGGGGGTGTGGGTGTGAGTGTGTGAGTGCAGGTGTGAGTGTGGGTGTGGGTGTGAGTGAGTGCAGGTGTGAATGTGAGTGCGAGTGTGGGTATGAGTGTGAGGGTGAGGGTGCGGGTGTGAGTGGGGGTGTGGATGTGAGTGTGTGAGTGCAGGTGTGAATGTGAGTGCGAGTGTGGGTATGAGTGTGAGTGAGGGTGAGGGTGCAGGTGTGGGTGTGGGTGTGACTGTGAGTGTGAGTGCAGATGTGAGTGTGAGTGCGGGTGTGGGTGTGAGTGCGGCTGTGACTGTGAGTGTGGGTGTGGGTGTGGGTGTGGGTGTGAGTGTGAGTGTGTGAGTGCCATTGTGAATGTGAGTGCGAGTGTGGGTGTGAGTGTGAGGGTGTGGGTGTGGGTGTGGGTGTGGGGGTGGGGGTGGGTGTGAGTGCGGCTGTGAGTGTGAGTGTGGGTGTGAGTGTGGGTGTGGGTGTGAGTGCGGCTGTGACTGTGAGTGTGGGTGTGGGTGTGCGGGTGTGAGTGGAGGTGTGGGTGTGAGTGTGTGGTGCTTGTGAAGAGGAGGGGCTGGGGGTGCAGGGGGGCATTCCTCTCCCATCAGCGTTTGTCCTCTTTTGACCTCTGACCTCCAGGGTCCCTGCTCCCCCTCTCTGTGGCCTCCCCCAGGCCAGGCAGAGAGAGGCCGGTGCAGCTGCTCATTCTGGGAGGACAGTGTGGACCCTGCACACCGGGGGGCTGCAAACCTGGCGGGGGTCTCCCCACCTGTCTGATCCTGACACCCTCCTTTCCCAGCAGCCATCGGAAGACCTGGTTTCCTATGACACGGAGCTGTACCAGCACCAAACGCATGAATACTACCCCTATCTCAGCAGCGATGGCGAGAGCCACAGTGGTGAGTACAGGCCCCGCCCCTCTTCCCCAGCCCGCCTGGGCGCCTGAGTGACTCCTGGAGTCTGGAGAGAGGAAAAAGGAGAAATGGCTCCCAGGACCTCCTTGGAATTCTGAGAATTGGACCGTGCTAGTTCCTAAAACCCCCATTCCCCACCCACACCCACACCCAGCCTGCTTCTACTGAGCATCCTCGGTGCCGAGGCCCGAGGCCAGCTTCTTCCACGTTTACCTCCTCATCCAATCCTGGGGCCCTTTTACAAACGAGGAAACAGGCTCAGGAAGCTCAGTGAGCTGGACAAGGCCGTACAGCTGGCCAGGGGAACCCAGGTCTGTCTGCTCTTCCACTCTCCCCTCCCCCCAGTTTCTCCCTGGTCCTCTGTTCTTGTCACCCCCTCACCCTGAGCTGTTGGTGCAGCCCCACGCCCTGCTGTGTGTAGCTAGCAGCATTTCTTAACTCCCATTGGCAGGAGGGGCCAGATAATGCTCTGTTGTGAGGCCTCTCCTGTCCGCGGTGGGATGGTTAGTGGTGTCCCTCGCTTCTACCCATAGATACCAGTAGGACCACCAGTCAGGGCAACCAGTGTGTCCCCACACGTTGTGGGATGTTCCCTGAGGGACCGAATTACCCCAATTCAACAATTGCTGGGCTAAAGGAGGCTCCGAGGGTCCCCTGATTCAGCAGGGGCTGAAGCCCCCCTGTCCCTTGCTGGGATGGGGTGAGAATGGAGCCTGGGCTAGGATGTCCTTCTGTCAGGATGGACCTGCCCCCTCCTCCCCAAGGCCCAGCATTGATACTGGAGCAAATTTAGGGGAGGAGAGCGAGGCGTCTTGGCTTATTGAGGGGGACACCCCTGAACCAAAGGTGACGTATCCTAGTTAACAGGTCCTCATTGGGGTTCTGAGACCCGGGCATGCCAGACACCAGGAAGTCTGTGCGCAGCCCCAGAGGGAGAGGCCCACTGGGTGTAACAGCTGAGCAAGGCCTCACACGTGAAGGCCACCTGGGGGCCAGTCACACGGGGAGCTCCGTTCTGCAGGCACATCGAAGGCAGTCCTACCCTGATGGCCACACCCAGGGGTGCCCCACGCGGCCAGTCCTTACTCAGGGCTCTCAGATCTGGTGCCAAACCCGGTGAACAGCTCACCCGAACCCACACCTGGAAACTCTTATACAGACCGTCCCTGGAAGCCACGTGTGGGGAGGAGGAGGTGGATGTGTCTCAAGGCCACTTCAGGGGACACACTGGCTTCGTTCGGAGCCCCAGGGCTGGAAAGATTTTAAAACATCCTCCTTCATCCTTTTAAACTTATTTGTAATTCTGTAAGAAATGCAGCCTCCGTGGGAAAGCCAGGCAATTTAGAGAAGTCTCCTTCATACAACTCCCCAGCCAGGATCGGGTCTGGGCTTGAGCGCCCCCTGGTGCCTCCCAGCTGCAGGACGCCTCGGGTGCAGGCTAGCTCAGGGCTGCCTGGGGCTGCTTCCAGCATTACCGACCCTTTTGCCTCTGGCCTGATCACCGTCTCAGTTTCACCGGGTTTGGGGGCATTTCCTTTGGGCCTACCGAAGCCTCAGTTTCCCCTCCTTTAATATGGAATATGGGGGTGTTGTTCATATATTCAGAAAGGAGCTAGGCCTGGGGCCGGCTGATGGAAGGAGTGCTTTAGAGAAAAAGTTCTTACCTGGCTCGGCGCCTAGCCTGATCCCTTATCTCTGGGTAGGGACCCCCGGTTAGATGCTTGTGCAACCTGTGTGGGTCACGGAGGCCCCCTGTCTTCAGAGACTCCTCCACATCCCCACTCCTCCAGGCGTCTGATCCGGCCTTCCTAACACCTGTGGGAAGTTCTCGTCTGAAGGCTCAAGAGCAGAGACACCCCGCAGCCTCCCCCAGTTCCTGCCCGCTCCTTGGTCTGGGTGTCAGGCAGTGAGGCTTAGTGGAAAGGCACCAGGGCGGCCCGAGTCCAGTCCCAGGCCCATCACTCAGCAGTAACCTTGGAAATAGTGACTGCATCCCTCTGAGCCCTGTTTCCTCATTTACAAAACTGGGAGCAGGAAAACACCGCACCGAGGTGCAGCGATTAAACAAGGTGATGCAGGTAATATATGTACTGAGTCCCAGGCCCGGTAAACTTTCAGGACATGGAGGGGTAGCTTTGCTGCGTCTCCCCCAACCCCCAACGCAGCTGGAGAGCCGGAGGCAGAGGGCCCTGGGGCAGATCAACCAACTAAACAGACAGACAGACAGACAGACAGACAACACTTATTGTCCCACCCCCCTGCCCACACACTCACCAATAGCCTCTGATTACGCACCAGGCACCAGGCACTGTTCTAGGCTCTGCAGGCTCCAAGGGCATAAGAGAGACGCGGCTGCTCCCCTCATGGCGCTGTATTCCAGCGAGGGAGACGGTGAACTGGCAGATAAGCGGACACGTAATCCTAAGTTCCATAACAAGCAGAGCAATGCCACGTGGCACGTCTATGTGGGGGGGCTACTGTAACATGGGTGGTCAGAGGGGCCCCCAGGCAGTGACTGTGGAGTGACACCTGAGTGAAGAGAAGGCAGGTGGGGGCTGGGCGTCCTGGGTAAAGGACAGGGTGGGAGTGGAGGTCAAAAGTAGACAGGGTCCGCAGGGGATAGTCTGCTCAGGGCCTGAGCGCCAGGGTGGGAGTTTGAATTTTATCCTACAAACAATAACAGCTATTGGAGGTTCTGAGCAGGAAAATGATGTGATCTGAATAACGTGTGTGTGTGTGTGTGTGTGTGTGTGTGTGAGTGTGAGTGTGTGTTTGGTGAAATTCTAAATAAATTTAACTTTTGAATTATTAAAGTAACAATTACTCATCACAAAAATCTAAAAAAAGAAAAGAAAACTCTAACAATAAAGCAAGTAAAATATTTCTCTCTTTCCAACCTTACTCCCCACGGATAGCATCCTCAGTCTATACTCACAAGACATTTTATTCTACATATATAATTCTGTATGTCTGTAAATATTTGCTATACACGTGTGGCGTCTACTCATTCAAAAATGAAATTGTGCTATCACACAGCTTTGCTATGTACCATTTTTTTTTACTTCAACTTATAGGCATTTCTTCTTGACACCCATAGCATATCAGAGATAGATAAAAAATAATCTATATGTTAGGTGGAGCTGAATCTAGCTTGAACCAGTACTATAAAAGTTGAGAAGTTGGCTTTCTAGTCATTCACAATACACACACACTCACACACTTCACACATACCAAGGTAAGTATATGGCAACTTTTTTTCTTTTTTTCTAGTTTTATTAATTAATTAGAGGTCTGGTGCATGAAATTCGTGCATGGGGGTGTGTGTGCCTCAGTCCAGCCTGCACCCTCTCCAATCTGGGACCCCTTGAGGGACGTCCGATTGTCCATTAAGGCCTGATCCTGGTGGGCAGTCGGACACCCCTCTCACAATCCAGGACTGCTGGCTCCCAACTGCTCACCTGCCTTCCTTTCTGATTGCCCCTAACTGCTTCTGCCTGCCAGCCTGATCACCTCCTAACCACTCCCTTGCCAGCCTGATTGATGCCTAACTGCTCCCTTGCCAGCCCGTTTGCCCCTAAGTGCCCTCCCCTGTGGGCTTGGTCACCCCTAACTGCTCTCCCCTGCAGGCTTGATTGAATCCCAACTGCCCTCCTTTTCAGGCCTGGTTTCTCCCAACTGCCCTCCCCTGCTGGCCATCTTGTGGTGGCCATCTTGTGTCTGAATGGGAGCAGGATCTTTGACCACATGGTGGCAGCCATCTTGTGCGTTGGAGTAATGGTCAATCTGCATATTACTCTTTTATTAGAGAGGATAGAGGCCTGGTGCATGGGTGGGGGGCCAGCTGGTTTGTCCTGAAGGGTGTCCCAGATCAGGGTGGGGTTCCCTTGGGGCGTGGGGTGGCCTGGGCGAGGGGCCTGCTGGCCCCCTGGTGACCCAAGCGGATGTATCTGGGATTTATTTATCTTCTACAATTGAAATTTTGTAGCCTTAAATGGAGGCCAAGCCAGGCCAGGGTGTGCGGAAAGCTTGGCTTCTTCCATTGCCTGGGAAACCCAAGCCTCCCTCCTGCTCTCTCTGTGGCCGCAGCTATCTTGGTTGGGTTAATTTGCATATATGCTCCTGATTGGCTGGTGGGCGTGGCTGGTGGGGGTAGCAGAGATACAGTCAATTTGCACATTACTCTTTTACTAGATAGGATTGATATACAACACTGTCTACATTAAGGCATACAGCATAATGACCTGATGCATACTTATGTATATATATTATTTATATATTTATAAACTTGACTACCACGAGTTTAATTAGCATCCATCATCTTGTGTAGTCACAAAATTTTCTTTTTCCTTGTGATGAGAACTTCTAGCAAGGTTCAAATATGCCATACTGCAGTGTTAACCGTAGTCATCTCGTTTAGTACATTGCATCCTAGGACTTACTTATCTTATACCTGGAAATGCATGCCTTTGACCACCCTACGTCAATTCCTTACCCACCAATCCACCCCCTGCCTCTGGCAGCCACAAATCTGATCTCTGTTTCTATGTGTTTTGTGTTTGTTTTTTAAAAATATATATTTTTATTAATTTCAGAGAGGAAGGAAGAGGGAGAGAGATAGAAACATCAATGACAAGAAAGAACCATTGATCAGCTGCCTCCTGTACGTCCCCTACTGGGAATTGAGCCTGCAACCCAGGCATGTGCCTCTGACTGGAACTGAACCTGGGACCCTTTAGTCCGCAGGTCGACGCTCTATCCATTGAGTCAAAGCAGGTAGGGCAAGTTTTGTGGTGTATTTTTTTTTTTTTCCTAAGATTCCACGTATAAGTGAGGTCATACAGTATTTGCCCTTCCCTGTGCGGTAACTTTTGTTAAATGCATCTGAATTTTCCATTATTACCGTGTGACTGTGACAGCTGAGCCACCTGGAGTACTTTACCTGTATGTGCTCACCCCCTCGTTTCCCAGGGGCAGTGTGGCGAGGA